TAGTGCACCAATCAAAACTGTGGAAAAATAAAATGTGTTTAAAAGTTAAATGAATTGTTGTTCTGTGTGATTTTTTAACGATCTGGCAAAAACAGGTACTCTTATTTACACTTATATTTTTAGGGTTTTTTCCCAAACTTTTAAATTTTATGTTTTAAATATGTAAAATATTACACGGCTTAACTTCATATTGTGCTTTTACAGGTACCTTTTAGTTTCACTGTCTTAACTTTCTCTTCAACCTTATTCCTGTTCACCTCATGTTGTGTTTTGTATCATTAGTCTTTGATTTATATTCTTTTGCTTATTTTTGTGAAGTAGTATATACATGTACACAAAAGGTGTCACTACACTTTTACTTCTTACTTTTCTGCTTCATATATCATAGCAAAACAGTTCACAACAGCTCAGGGATTGTCTTTTTTTTTTTTCATTTTAATATAGTTGCATGGTCACCACTGTGAACATACTATAGTTTATTGAACCAGAATCCTACTTATGGGAAGGACCTAAAATCGTAGGGTGCATACATGAAAATCAAAATTGATAGAGGTCTTTCCAAATCTGATGATAATTATAAAAATTTACTTAATATCCAAACCAAAATGTGTAGCAGATCCTGTTCTAAGCTGTCAATAATATAAATCAAATTGCAATGAAAATTGAAACTACAAGATACCATTAAACAGTCACTGGAAAGTCTAAAAGTAAAAGAACGGAAAATATCAAGTGTCAGTGAAGATGTGGAGGGAATCAGATTCTCATGCACTGCAGGGGAATGCCCTTTAGCAGTATCTGACAGTCATATGCAAAATTGCATAATCCAACAATTCCACTCTTAGGTATATATTCAACAGAAATATGTATGCTCATCAAAAAGACATGAACTATAATACTCATAATAGTAGTATCTATACTTTCCAAAACCTGGAAACTACCCAGATGTCAGTTAACAGTAGAGCAGGCAAATAAATGGTGGTCTATTCACACAATGAGATGGCAATGAGGGGAAGAATCTTCCTCTCTGTACAACAATATAGATGAATCTTAATGTTAACTTGGGGAAAACAAGCCAGATTCAAACAAGCACCTGGTCTATGGCTTCTCTTGTACAAAGTTCAAAAGCAGGAGCAACCAACCTGTGCTCTCAGGAGTCAGGGTGCGGTTATTCTGGTAGAAGTGGAGATGGAATCTGGAAGGGAACTCACTGGTTGCTCTGGAGGTGTGGCAAAGTTCTCCTCACTCTGGCTTTAGAGAACTTCAGGCAGGTTTACTTTGAGAAAATTCAGCAAGCCATACACTTACAATATGGACATTTTTCTGTGTATGGTTTACTTCAATTAAAAGTATGTTCAAATTTCACTTATGTAATAAAGAAAAAAAGGTACTGATAAATACCTGAAAACAGATTAAAGGACTATAACGGAAGCCAAGATGACTAATTTAGATTAAAAAATACCAAATTTAAATTGTAAGCTCAAATTTATAGCCTTGTAAAGTCTGGTGCCCAAGGTTTAAAACTAATATGCATCTTGCATCCTATTCTCATGCTCTGTACATGTAACCTCCTGATGCTTTAAGGAGGTTCCCCATTTCCCTCTAGTTTGAAAACCTGCAGCCAAGCACACCACTACCTGCAGACAGTCTGATGCATGCAGAGCAGGTAAAGTAGGCAAGCCTGCCTCCTGCTGGGCCTCATTAGCTTGGAAAAAAATGCAGATATTATATAACACAGCAAGAAAATTATGTAAGAAGTCTAACAGTTTTAGGCTAAGGAAAAAAGTTTAATAACTATATTAATAGAAAAACTAAATTATCTTTCTATTCTGGCCACAGAAGTTATTACAAAATTGTTATATAAGGGCTGGGGATGTAGCTCAGTGGTAGAGCATCTGTCTAGCATGTGTGAGGCCCCCAGTTGGATTCCCAGCACCAAAAAGAAAAAAAAAAAATTGTTATATAAAAGGTGATATGACATGCAGCCAAAATAGTAGGAAAGTTATGAAAATATTTCTGGTGATCAGTTAGCAAATATTATTTTTCTGGTATTTGTGATATTTGTCATTTATAGTTTAATTGGTTGTTCTTTTCATGATTTTAAATAAATACATACCTTTATAATCAATTTTGTGTTTACAATTTAGATTTTTTTTTCCTCAAGGACAATTCTTAAGGAATTGTTTCAGAACCACAAAGCATTGATTATCCCTGAATGGGATTTATTTCACAGCAAGACTTCAATTTCTCACCATGGCAAATGAGAGATAGCAGGTCTGTGATCTATGTTCCACCCAGCAACTAAGAACGGAAGCTAATTTGGGAAGTCATCTCATGTGCATTCGTCTACATCAAAGGACATCGGACTGGGGCTAAGCTATGGGGCACAGCAGTGAGCAAACAGACAGGGCCCCCACCTTCCCGAAAACCACACTTCAGGAGACAGACACACGGAGCTGATAATCCCTTTACAAACTAGGATCAATGCAGCAACAGAGGGTTATGGACGGCCAGAGTGAACAAGGGAATGGATCCCAGGGAAGAGACTTCCCCGGCCCTCTGCCGGAGTGGGACACCTCTGGCGAAACAAGCAGCGGGGGGAGAGGAATTCTGCCCAAGCCCCCATAGATGGGTCCAGGGACGCAGACAGCACAGCCTCCACCAGGCCAGGCTGCAGCACCTAGGGTCCTGGCCGCTCGCTCGCTCGCTCGGCAGGCCCAGGGCAACAGGCCTGCCAGGCAGCGCCACTAAGGGGCAACTGCAGCAGGAGCCTATGGTCGCCCAGCGTAGGCGGCTGAGCCGCGCGGGTTTTGCACAGAGCTTAAGCCCCGCTAAATGAACCGATGGCTCTCATCATGCACTCCTCCCCGCACCCCGCAGTGGGCTTCCGCCTTGGTTCTGGGACCAGACTTTCTTCCTTCGGGACAGAAATTCTAACTACAGCTCATTCCCGGGAAATCGACACCTCGAAGCCTTCTCTGCTTGCACAACATCGCCACCTACTGCCCGCAGGGAGTCCCTCGCAGCCCCGTCTGTCCCAGTCCTACCCAGCCTTCCCAGGTAGATGCTGGGAGGTATTTACATGTGGCAAACTGTAAGAAAAGGTAAGTAATCAAAAGCAAAATAACTTTCAATTATGAAAATAGTTCTCCTACTGCGTTATCAGAGCCACTTCAGTGAAGAAATTAACAGTTTAATTCTAAAACCTTAAATACAAGCACAATTTTAACTCTTTTTTCAACTGTACTGCCTTATAATGAAGTTATTTAACTCATTCCTCCACTACCTTATAAACACCTTAAGAGCAAGGACTTACTCTTCTTATTCCTAGAATCAAACAAAATGTAGACAAATCAAACAAAGCAACCACAGAAAGGGCCAGAAACACGTCTACGTATGTATGGTGTGTGGTTTATAATGAAGGTGACATAGTAAAGACGGTCACTTCAATAAACAGTGTCAAGTCAACCAGTTAGTGATAGAAAAAAATACTCCTCTATATCATGCATAAAAAACAATCCCAGATAGATTATAGACTATATGTGGAAAGATTCCTAAAATGCATCATAGGATATCTTCATAACCTTAGGTTAGGCAAAAAGTGGTCACAAAGAACACCAAAAACATTATTTATAAAGGAAAATATTGTTCTGGTTGTGGTAGTGTACACCTGTAATTCCAGAGGTGGAGGCAGGAAGATCACAAGTTGAAGGCCAGCCTCAGCAACTCAGTGAAACCCTGTCACAAAAATCAAAAAAAGATCTAGGGATGGAGCTCAGTGATAGAACACCCCAGGTTCAATCCAGAGTACCACATACACATACAAAAGAATACTCTTAAAGGAAAAGACTGATAAAATAGACTATATTAAAATTATTTTTATTCCAAAACAGAAACCTTAAGGAGAGTGAAAAAAAAAAAAAAATCAAACCACCAGGAAGAAGAAAATATAATCAAAGAACTTTAATCTAAAATATATTTAAGAATTCCTACAAATCAATTAAAAAAAAAAAAAGACAAGCCACCCAATAGGAAAGTTACCCAAGAAACTTGAATAGGCATTTCCCAAAAGAATATGACCAAATGGCCAATATTAAATATATGAAAAGATGCTTGGCCTAATTAGGCAAAGAAATTCAAATTACAAACACTAGAAGATAGTACTACACACCCTCCAGAATGCCTAAATCAAAATTTAAAATTCTTAAAAAGCTGACATAATATGATTATGTAAATATTCACTAGCTGCTAGTGAACGTGTTGATGTGCCCACTCTGGTAAATTTTTAGCAGTATCTTAGAGTCAAACATACATAAACCCTGTGGAGCACTTCCACTCCCCAGTATATATCCAATAAAATACACACAATTGCACCAAAAGTTAAGTACAAGAAAGTCCATAGCAGATGACTTACGATAGACCCACAGGTCTCCCTAGCAGGAAGGACAACATACAGTGGGACAAAGTACACAGCAGTGGATGAGCCAGCCACTGCTCTGTCAACACCATGGGCATGTCTCACAGCCTAATGTCAGGAAAGAAGCCAGACCCAGGAAAGCAAGATTCTGTTGCTAAAGGGCAAAGGTCGTCTGAGAAGCCCTGGTAGGCAATACCTTTGGGCAGAAGCAAGCATGGCAACTGGGAAACATAGCCAGGCTTCTGGGTTGCAGTCAATGTTCACTTATTGTTTTTAATTATGAAAATTGAGTTGTATTTTAATAATCTGTACACTTAATATCTTACACAAATAAAAAGTTTTAAAGTATAAGAATGAAATAAAGGCAGTTTAATATGCACAAAAATTAAGAGAACTTACTCAGCAGACCACACTAAATAAGAATTCCAGGCAGGAATAGAATGATCCCAAGTGGAAGGTATGAGATACAAGAAATGAAAAGCAGAAAACAATAAAATGAACATGTGGATGTGCTGGTCAGTTTTTTGTCACTATGACAAAATACCTCAAGACCCATGTGAAGGAGGGAAAAGCCTGTTTGACTTACAGTTTAGGTTTCAGTCCACAGTCTCTTGGCCCCATGCTTTGGGCTTGTGGCGAAGCAGAACACCATGGTGGTGAGTGTGCAGCAGAGTGAAATCCCTTACCTCCTGGCCTGGAAGCTGCCAGAAAGAGGAAGGAACCAGAAACCAGATATAGTCCCCAAGGGCACACCCTGAGGACTCATCCTCTTCAACTAGGTCCCACCTCCTACAGTTTCTAACACCTCCCAATAGTCCATTCAGATGTGAATCTATCAATGGCTTAATCCATTGATGAGGTTAGAGCCAAACACTTCCCAAAAGCCCTACCTCTGAATATTGCTGCACTGGGGCCAAGACTTTAGCACATGACTTAAGGGAGTACTCCAAATCCAAGCCATGATTGTAGATAAAGTAAAAACTAAATATATAAATAATAGAAGTAATATCCCATCAGATAAAATGAAAGTCTGTCAAAACACTTGATGGGGCTGGGTTGTGCCTCAGTGGTAGAGTGCTTGCCTGGCATGTGTGAAGCACTGGGTTCGACTCTCAGCACCACGTGTAAATACATAAAGGTCCATTGACAAATTTATTATTTATATTATATATAAATAAAATTTTTAAACAACTGGATAGACCTTAAGAGATTTCTGCTAACTGAACAAAAGTCAATCTCTAAGTGCTGAATTCTGTATCATTTCATTTGTATGTGTTCTCGAAGTGACAGAATTATAGAGATAAAGAGCAAATTAACAGTTTCCAGGAGTGAAGGAGAGAAGGAGAGAAAAATTGCAGGTGAGAAAAGGTATCATGAGGGATCCTTCGAATAGAATTGTGGGCGTCTTGGTGGTGGTGGTATATCTGTGTAACCACATGTCATAAATGAGCACAGAGAGGACGGCGAAATCTGAGTAGTTGGTGAGTGTATGAATGTCAGTGTCCTGGTACGACACTATGCTATCCTTACACAATGACTTTGGGAGAAACTGAGCAGAGGATATCTGGAATCTTACCTAAAATTATTACATAATTTTATTATTTTGGTACTAAGGATGGAACCCCTGGGTGCTTTACCAGTGAAATATATCCCTAGTACTTTTTGTTTATTTTGAGGCAGTGTCTTTCCAAGTTGCCCAGACTGGCTTACAAACTTGTCATCATCCAACCTCAACCTCCCAAGTCACTGGAATTACAAGCATGTACCACTCTGCCCAGATTCTTTATATTACTTCCTGCAATTTTATGTGAATCTACAATTTTGTCAAAATAAAAAGTTTAAAATAAATTTAAAATAGACTACAAAAGCATAATTCGAGAGGAATTAATTGTAAAGTTCTTATATCACCCAGAAAATAATAAACTAAATTTACACTCTCATAGCTTAAGTATGCATGTTGAAATTAGGAGGACACTAACAAAGACTTCCAAATGACTAGAGAAGAAAACCTAAAAGAAGGCAAAACATGTGAAAACGAGTAGGAGAAATAGAAAGCACAAAACAAGGTGATACAAACACATACGCACATACATTTGCACCCATCAGTCATACAACCATACATAGTGTTCCAGTATGTCAGGATACATAATAAATGCAAATGGACTAAGTAACCCAGTTTAAATTATTAAATGATCTAAATCCAATTACATGTTGTTTATGAGTTATATTTGAAATGTAAGGATACAGAATTGTTTAAAGTGAAAGATGTGAAAAAAAAAAAATATATATATATATATATATTGAATTCAGTGCAGAGTCTTACCAAAGTTACCATAGCAATATTAATCAGACATAAAATTGAAAGTAATCCTAAATGGAGGGAAACATTTTGATAATAGTCCAAATCACAAAGATATTTTTTGATATAATATGCATGCAAATACAGCTTCCAAAAGCAAAGGATGACAAAAATATAAGACAGACAAATCCACAAATATTTCATTTACATATTTCTCAATAAACAAAGTATAAAGATGATTAAGAAGGATGAATACAGTAACAAAATTTGGAAAAAAAAAGACTCAATTGGACATAAAAAGAACACAAGATCCCTTAATAATTGCAGATCATACTTCAAGAAAATGTGAAACAATTTCAAAAATTAACCACATACTTGAGTGTTTAAGCAAGTAACAAATTTCAAAGATGTGAAATAATAGATTGCAAATTCTGATAAAAACACAATGAAGAATGGGAAATGAAATGCTAATTAGAAAGACTATGTGTTTAGAAATTGAGAAATATCATCCTAAATAGCCTACAGCTCAAGATAAAATTAGAAAAATTTCACTATAATAATCATCAATTCCTAAAGTGTAATTGCCTAATCTTACACAATTATACCCAAGGACCAAGAAACAAATCACAATGTGCTCTACAGTAGACCTTCTACCTCCAGGAGTGGAATCTAGAATAAATCCTCAAAATGTGTAATACCTTCATGGAGAAAATCGTGCAATTTTGAAATATACCAAAGATGATGTAATAAAAGGGGGAGATAAGAGAATCTCATGAATCAGAAGATTCAACATTGTAAAGTTCTCCCAAAAATGACCTGTGTAATCCCAATAGATATCCCAACCAGTTTTATGAAACCCAATAATCATTTCTAAACTTATGCAAAATAGCCAAGACCAAGGAAGAAGAAGCAGGGAAGTTGATATATTTGCTGAATAATGAATAATTAGAAGGTCAGCAAAATTAGTATGTGCCACTAAGCCAGAATTTCTAAAGCACCACAGAAGAACAATGGGAAGCATCTATAAGCACTGTTTCAAGATAAACACAGATGTTTAAAAAATGTAGTAGAAACTGATTTTTAAATAGATCTAGGACCTCTTTAAAAAGAAAGAAAAGAAAAAGAGGTCGTAATCAAAAGGCCTCACCTAATTTCATGAAGCGTTCATCTACTAAAGATTCAGGTTAATTTGCAAAACCAATCATGGGTGCAACTGATATGTCACCGCTGAGACAGCAGGATCTCAGGGCTCTTCCCAGCTCAACAGGCACAGTGGGAGAGCCCAACCTCTGACATATTCTCTATTTATGATCATTGTTTTTTTTTTTTTAACAATTTGTCGGCCCTACTCATAAATCACAGAGAAGCAGAAGTATTTATGTGGCCTTCTGCCAAAAACAACCTTTCCAGAGTATTTGCAGTTATTACTAGGATTATGCCAGGAGACAGACTAGTACAAGTTTTCTAAACAAGGAAAACATTTACAGCAATAAAGAAAAAGCTTCCCCAAGTTTCCTACTTAATAAATCTAGTGAACTGTGCTGAGCAACATAAATTCACCTGGACACTGAGGGACAGCTGGAAGGAAGCATTTAATCCAAAGTCTCATCTACCTCACAAAACTAAACTAACTGTCCTTATAGTTCTGGAAGACCCAATGACCACAGAAGAGAAGATTTAGTCTATATCAGAAGTCCAGCCAAAACAAAAAGCACAATGTACAGGCCAAACAATTGCTAATTTCTTAGCATAGTATATCATGTTTCTTCACTGTAGCCTAAAATTACATTTGTGTGACAATGCCCCCCAGCAAGGGGACAAAATAGACGCAGCAGGTTAAAGCACCCAAGAGGAGAGAGAGAGTGCAAAAGACAGAAGGGATGTCCCATGCCCAGGTTTTATTCCTATATTATTATACACGATTCTCAGTGTCCTTTGAACTAAGGAACTAATATTGATTATAATATTAGCAAAATCTATAGTCTACTCATTTAAAAAATCACAATAAAAATTTCAGAATTTCCAGAATCATTACAGTCAGAAACAAGGAATCAAGACTGTACTCTCCCAAGAGAATGAATACAATTATCAAAGTAAAATCACCTAGCTTTGGAGTTGGTTAAAAATCAGTCAGAAACAAACCTCAAACATAAAATAATCAAATTCAGGGGGAAAAAAGAATCACCTGAAGGTATCATGATCGGCTAGGTTTACACATCTTTGATCCAATTCAAATTCTTTGTATCCCACAAAAATCCAGTCCTTTCTAAAAGTCACAGTTGGTGTTTGACAATGGGACAGCAGCAACCCCCCTAACTAGCTTGAAGGCTAGCAGGTCTTGACGTCCATGTAGTTTAAAGATGAAAAATCCTCCCCATCCCTCTAAAGATGTGCAGATGGGTCATCAGAGATTCACAGAAACATTCTCACCTCCAGGAGGTATTTCCTAGTGTTTGCATTTGACATTAAATACTTCCCCAGAATAATGATATTAAAAGTTAGCTCCTTACTGAATATTTTCTGTGGCAAAGGGTAGCTGACCTCTAGTTCCTTCAGTGGACTAAAATTTATGTATATCCCAGATTTCCATTTCATCTATTTCATTCCTATTGATTTACCTTTTAATTATAAGCTGACTGAATCTATCCCAGCAATCTTTAGTTGGTCTTTATGACTTTAATTCTATTGGTTATTTCATATAGAAATGGGGTAAAAAGAATACACAATTTAACAGTTTTTTATAAAGGCCTGCATCAAAGCAGTTGTGACTCTTTGGGCGAACAGAGCCTCTCTGAACCTCAGTTTCCTCATCTGTGAACTAGGGATATTTTCTATGCAAGATTATTTTAAGAAATGATGCCATGCTCAGTGGTGCATGCCTATAATCCCAGCAGCTTGGGAGGCTGAGGCAGGAGGATCAAGAGTTCAAAGCGAACTTCAGCAATTTAATGAGGACCCCAGCAACTCAGTGAGACCCTGTGTCTAAATAAAATATAAACAAGGGTTGAGAATGTGGCACAGTGATTAAGTGCCCCTGGGTTCATCCCCGGTACAAAAAAAAAAAAAAAAAAGAAAGAAAGGAAGGAAGAATTGATAAAATGCACATAAAGCACTTAGTAATTAACAGGTGCTGAAATAAGTAGTTCTTTAAAATTCCATCATAGTAAAATATACATAGCATGAGATTTACCATTTTTACCATCTTTGAGTGTACAGTTCAGTGGCATTAAGTGTGTATATATCATTGCGCAGCCATCACTACTATTCAACTCTCAAACTTTTCTGTCATCCCCAACTCAAACTCTGTAAAATAGTTAAAAATAGCCACTGAATGGTTAAAAAAAATCCTTTTCTGACAGGAGGGAGATAGCCATACAGACATCATCAGGAACTAAATTCACCAGAGAGACTGATTTGTCTAGATTCTAACAACACCATGTAAGTTTTGAGAAGTACCAGAGCAACCAGTTTTGCTTCTTGACCTGGACTTTCCAGTGGACTTTATGATCACCTGATTTGCATCAGTTTCTAGCAGTAGAATTGCCTCAATCTTGTTTATCTCCCTCCAAGATCTCTAAGCAGCACCGACCCACTCCTCCCTGTAGCTAAAAGCCCAGGACCACCATTCCTCCACGGATGCTTGTGTGCTCTACCTGACCTGTGCTTTCCAATCTTCAGCTCTATTCTGCACCTAAAGAAAACTGGCTTTGCTTATATTTTAACCTTATCTATGATTTCTTGGTTTAAATTTCCCCATTAGACATGGTACTGCATTCCTTCTGCCCCAGAACCCCAGGCTACCTCCATGTACTTTCTGCTTCTAGCTAATCTAGGTGCCTCGTATTTAATGGAACTGTGTGTAGGGCAGGAAAAATATGCTTTTCCTCTACCCACCTGAATTCTCAGCTGTGACTCCTCTAACCAAATGCAGATTAACAAGAAAAAAGTCAACAATTTAATGTAAATTTTGCATGACATAGTCCTCATGAGGAAACGCCACAGGGCCAGTATTGGGAAGACAACCTATTCTTGAGGGTGAAGCAGTGGGGAGGATCTTAGCTCTTTAGGGAACTTTGTTTCTATTCAAAGCTCAACCATACATGGAAAAATATATATTCCTTAGTATTTATTTCTTAGAGAGAATTGGGGAGTTCCCTTAATAATGAAAATCTGGTTAAGAAACTTGCTTTGGGGGCTGGGGGGTGTAGCATAGCTGTGGAGCACTTGCCCAGCAAGCCTGAGGCTCTGGGCTCCACCCAGCACCACCAGGAATGGTGACAGAGACATGCTTTGGGCCACTCTTTCCTTTCCCATATCACTGAGCATTCTCTGTCCTCAAGCATGCACCCCTGCCTACATGTTCAGGTCTTCCAAGTACCAATTCAACCAGTTCTATGGTGCCTAATTGACTACACTAACAGAGGAGCCGAGGCTAAGGATGGGATAAAGAAATGACCATCTGAAAAGACTACTGGGACAAAAGAAAAAAAATAAGATGCTAAGACGGAGTTTTGGAAAATGAAGAAAGCAATGCAAATTTAGAACGTGAACAGTGTAACCTTATATATGCTGTTGAAACGAGGACTTACAGAGCCTACTTTTGCTAGAGCAGGACATTTTTCTTAGGCCTGCAGATGCCACATGAGCAACTAAAGGCAGAATAAAGCTTGGCATGTCTGCCTTCATTTTGTATTTGTCTTCAGGTTCCTACTCAGCTCATACATGGGCATGCTAATCATTTAAGGAGTGTTCATCTAAAAAGTAGTAATACACGGTTTATTAGCCTGAAACTTAACCTATGTTGTCCCCCTGCAGATGAAGCAAGCTTTGCAGCCTCCAGTTTCAGACCCCTGGAGTAGTGTTAGCAATCTCCTGTCCTTGTCCCACTCC